CCTGAATATCCTCCAATCTCTTTCAGTCATTTCCTCCAGCTTCCTGTCCGACCAATGTCGATCAACCCTCATGTCAAAAGTGTCGTACATGTCAGCATCTCGTTCCTTATTCTTCAAGGCAGCTGCTTCTACTGCAGTCCTTGAGATGCCGTTCCTCTTACGTATCTCCTCCAGTAAATCCCTCTTAGTCCTGGCTGCCAGCTTCTTCTGCTCCTTTCGGTCTATTCCAGCACGGAATCCGCGACCGAAGAGTAAACCGGGTTCATGAGGGTTTTGGTAGAGAGAGCTTATGTCACGTGATGTATCCTCGCTGTGTGCCCAGTCGAAGGAGAACCGGGATTTCTCGGTGAGCTTAATGATCTCTCGCTTCTTGGGCTTTTCCGGGCCCAGATAATACTCTTTAGTAGCTTCGACCTCCAATCGAGCTCGCTTTCGTCGTTTTAACTCTTCGTCACGCTCCTTCTTGCGTTTCCTGCTCTCGGCCTCCCGGTCCATCGACTCTCCCGTGTCTCTTTTTGAATCTCTTCCTCCGTTCTTGCCGCCGTGAGAATCTCTTCCTCCGTTATTGTCACCGAGTTCACGGCGTAGCACGTCTCGCTGTGCTTTAGTCAGAAAGACAGGAGCATTCATTGTCGTGATACAAAGATACCAACTCAGTGATACAAATACACCAACTCAACCATACTATTTATTTATAATAGTAAATCCTATTTCTAGTTGAAATAGGATTTCTTAAAAAAAAAAAAAAAGAAAAGGGAATTGATTAGGAATTCCTCCTTTCTCCGCTAACCTAATCCTTGAATTACTAGGATTAGGAACACCTTCCTTAGCCGTTACAGTAATCCCAACACCCTTAGGATTAGAGCTTTGATTTTCAACATTCCGCACATGCTCCTTCTCCTGATTCTTATTGGCTTTTAACAGGGGGGAGCTACCCTTGTCTGAGGGGTGTCAAACTACACCCTTAACCGGAAAAATATACTGCATAGATATATTTAAAAACAATTATATACAAATATATAGAGTGGGTCGATAACCCTTGACACAAGACAAACCTCTAGTGCAATGGTTAAAGGGCGTCAAAAGTTATCGAAGGTTGCAAGTTCATTGCCGTCGCGACATAACTTCTCTTTTATAGTTATTTAAAAATTTTAAACAAACATTAAACTACGTCATTTTATTATCTGTAAGTATTTTTTTTAAAACTAGTATCTATGAACGTTAGTATCTATGAACGTGCGTTACGCGTTAATAATGGTACGTGATGATTTAAATATTTATTTATATGAAGGAACAATAAAATATAATTAATGAGCGAAATTGTATGTATAATACAACAATCATCTAAATGCCGAAAAATATTATATTACATTAGCATAATATATGAATTTAAAATAAAAGTACATCCTCAAAACTTACACAAATGATCAATCTTGTCATGTTAGTTAGATAATTATATATTATAGTTTAACAGTATTTAATGTGATGGTATCTTAACGAACATTTTTTTGTGGACAATATTTTTTTGTATATGCTTCCTCCTAATGCGTTGGTTCTTTTATTGAATGCTCTTCTTCGTTTTCGACACGAAGCAAGAAGGCACTGAATACTGGATCTGTTCTTACATTATATTTTCTTGTCAGTTGAATCTTTTTCTTTGAAGCCAGAAGTATAACTTTGGCAAGCTAGCTTTTACAGCCTCTGCTTTTGCCAATTTTGGAACTACTGATAGTACTTGACAGAAATCACCTCCCAAACCATTAAATTTTCACCAAATGGTTCATTAATATCCAGTATATCTCTAGAACTCCGGGCAACTATTTCGATTGCTTGACACTTAGACATAAGTGTTTCATCCCATATTATTATTATATTTGCTCTTCTTATAAATTTAGCACCATTTCTCTGCTTTGATATATTTGTGATGATTATTTAAGTTATTTGAAGAGGTATATCAAATCTAAAGTGGGTGGTCTCATAATACAATTGTTGCTTGTACACCAATTGCTGTTATTGCTAATGGTGTCATGCCTCTTGATATGATATTTGCAAGTAATGCATGACATAAACAAAATTATTTCGATTTCGCCGGAGACATCTACGAAGAATAATTCCGTTATACCTGAGCAGACTCTTTATAACATAGTCTTGAAAACTTGTTTTTGTTTAGGATTTAACTTTGATTGTGCTTCCTCGGACACTTGTATAGCATTTTGATTCTTAATAATATACTAATCTTTCTACTTTGTGTTCTAACGCTCTTTTTAGGGAATAAATTTATGTACCCTAAGATTTTTATTTTAACTTGAATAAGAATTTTACTCATATGATTAATTTAAAAAATAATTGAATTGGATTCTTTTGCTAAATAATTAATTAAAAGATTTAATTATTTGGTTTTAACATCAAAAATAATTTATTCTATGGTTATTCAGATCTTAATATTAGTTCATCTCTTGTTTTGAATATTTAATCTTAATTATATTTTTATCCACCATAAATTTTATTTTCAAACAGTAAAAGATTGATATGACATTTCACTTTAGATCTTTATGTTTGTAGAATCATTAGTGGTATTGACTCTTACCTACCATTTTTTTTCTCTTTCTCACACATTTATATTCTTGAAATTTTTCTTAGTTGTTGTTTAATAATTGGGTATTTTTCAATATTACACAAAAATTGTTTAGAAAATAATATTTGAGTAGGAAAATAGTTCAAATATATTATAAAAATATATCTTGGGGTTTCCCCCCTCAATTTCAACTCTTTATGCATTCTATTTAATATTACTTTTATTTTTTCTTTGTATTGGACATTATGTAGTGGTAATGTATTGCCAATACGAAGGGAAATTGATTTTATTAAACCTTCCTACATATTTTTTTATAAGAATTTAACAGATAAAATTTTATTAATTTTAAAATTTTAAATATTAAAAATCAGCATAGAAGGTATTGCAGTCCAAAAAATAGGTTAATGCAGTTGTGTCCTTTATCTATGAGTTCTTCCGTTCAATATTTTAGGGCAATTTTGATATATTGATATTGTATTTATGCTTTTATAATAATATAGGCTCTCATTTTCCTAAATGGATTTGGACAATATAATACATTCTCAAATTAAATTAGTAATAGGACTTATAATACGTTTTCAAATTAAATTGGTAATAGGAATTTTTAAGAAGTATATCCTAAAAGTAATAGGATTACATGACCAAGTATATTTACTTGTTCATTTTTATATGGATTAGACAACCCAAAAGTAGTTATACTAATAGGATTCCTAAAGGTACATGTAGGATTCCTAACGTGTATTATTATGTCCTAATGCTAATAGGATTATAAGGCTAATATCTAGAATTTCGGTTATGCCCTTTTATTAGGAGTTATTATGCTTAAAATTATAAGGTTATTTTTGCAAACCGACATTGTATTCATGCTTTTATAATAATATAGATATAGATTAATAAGCGATATGACATGAGGGCAATTGGGATTAAAGAAATCCCTAATTTCAAAAGTCAAAAGGGAACATCTCTCACGGCTCACGTTCTCAAGCTAGTGCTCATTCTTGTAGCCGAGACACCGACTCGTGTCATTAGTCTTCTTTGCAAATCGCTGCTGGTCGATCTTCGCCTGTCATGGCAGCCACGGTAAGTTCCCTTACTCTATTTCTTTGCCCCCTTTTTTTTAGAAGTTAGAAAATGTCTTTCTATAACTTTCACCGAAATAATTTAATGGAGGATAATACAAATATTTTCCTTGAATATCTAAAAGCTTTTATTTTTATATAATTCTAGGTGTCATAGTTCTTTCTAATATGCTTAAAGATTATGATGAAAAAGAAAAAGAGAAAACTACAAAATAGAATTAGAGGACAAACAAGAGTGGGTTGTGAAAGTTGAACTCTGCTCTATTGTGATTATATAAAGTGCAAATTGTGTACTTCTTATTCCTTGTTACATTCAATGATTTTTAAGTATTTGGTTGTTTGTATTTTAATTTTTTTTATCTCGGGATTTGTGACTGTGACTCTGTGAGCATCTTGGACTTTTAAGTATTTCTTTATAGTATATATTTGTAATGAAACATACATCAGAAGGAAAGGATTAATTCCAGTAAAACAAAAAGAGTTCTTGTATTATCAATTTAATATTGAAGGATTAATTCCAGTAAAACAAAAAGAGTTCTTGTATTATCAATTTAATATTGGGAAACAAGATATAGAGTGAAAATTCATGTACCAAAATTCATGAAAGCTTGGCCAATTTGATAGTTTTTATAACTGTGAAATGTGATATTTTATAGAAAATATTACGTGTATTTCTTCTAATTAAATTTTGTTTTATAATTCAGAATCAAAAATCAATGAAACAGTTTTTTTCCAAAGTACCAAAATCAAGTTTGACCGCTCATAATCAATCTAACTTGGAAGAAGATGCAGTACCAAAATCAAATTTGTCCACTAATAATCAATCTAACCTGGAAGAAGATGCTAATCAAACGGAAGTACCACTGCATTCTTCTCAAAGACAACAAATTAATCTTGAAACTTTAAACCCCGATTCGGCAGAAAGGACTCAAATCTTGGACTACCATCTAAACCTCCGCGATGTGATTAAAAGAGAATACATTCAAAGAGGTGCTTGTCAACCTCAAGAACATAACTTTACTCAAATAGATTTTTATGGAGTAATGCATCAGTTTCTATCCTAAATGGTTCGATGAGTATCATGAGTGGTTGGAGTATAGTATAAGTAACGATGCAGCATATTGTTTGAGTTGTTATTTGTTTAAAGACGATAATATTCATCAAGGTGGAGGTGATTTGTTTTCGAGCATAGGGTTTAAGAGTTGGAACAAAAAGAAGAGCTTTGATAAGCATCTTGGTGGGCCAAGTAGCTTTCATAACCAAGCAAAAAGGAAATGTGTAGATCTGCTACGGCAACTACAGTCCATTATATCTGCATTTGAGAAGCAATCTGATCAATTTAAGATATGGGTGAGCTTAAAACCGGTAGAGGCTTGAATCAAGAACTTGGTCTTTCAAGAGCTTGTGATACTCGTTGGGGATCTCATTACAAATCTTTTAAAAAATTTATTCTTATGTTTGACTCTGTTCTTGATGTTCTTGAAGCACTTGTTGTTGATGCACATTTGATGGATGAGAGAGCCAAGGCAATGGGATATCTCAAAACTTGTCAAATATTTGAGGTTGCATTTGATGAGAGATGTTTTAGCAATCACAAATGAGCTAAATAAATGCTTACAAAAAAGGAGCAAGATATCGCAAATGCCATGCTAATTGTAGAAGTAGCAAAGAGAAGGTTGCAAAGTTTAAGAGAAGATGATTGGGATTCACATTTTGAAAAAGTATCTACATTTTGTATGAAGTATGGCATTTTGATACCTAATTTTGATGAGCCATACGTTAACTCTTTATGATCACGACGTACATCTACCGATCTTACTATTTTGCATTATTATCGTGTTGATGTATTTTGTAAGATTATTGATTGGCAAATTCAAGAACTCAATGGTCGTTTTGACGAAGTGACTGCTAATTTGCTTCATGGAGTTGCTTGTTCGAATCCATTTGACTCATTTTCTAGTTTTGACATCAAGAAGTTCATGAAAATGGCTAAATTATATCCTGATGACTTTGATGAGGTTAGTATGGGTGCACTTGAGAATCAACTTGCGACATACATTATTGATGTCTGGGATATTGATGAAAGGTTCTCCAATTTGAATGAACTTTGTGATCTTTCAAGAAAATTGGTTCAGACAAAGAAACATTTAAACTTCCCTCTTGTATTTTGCTTGGTGAAATTTGCTTTGCTTTTGGCAGTTGCCACTGCCTCGGTTGAAAGAGCTTTTTCGGCAATGAAGTTTATCAAGAATGACATGCGGAATCGAATGAATGATGAACTTTTGAGTGGTTGCTTGGTGCCTTATGTAGAAAAAGATGTATTTAGTACAATATTTAATGATGATATTGTAAAAACATTTCAAGAAATGAAACCTCGTCGAGTATGATTGTAACAATATAATATTGTTTTGCTTTAGGCTGTGGTAATTTTGGTTTTGCTTCTAAGATAGAGTTACATGCTTTCCGTCACACTATCTTATAATCTTTTTATTGAAACATTTTCTATTAGAGTTGAAAATTATTATAAAAAAATCTTCTTCAAATTTTTGAAGCAAACTCCGTCGTTAGCAAGCTTTAAGAGGAACTAAAGGTTCTGTTATTTTTTGGTATTACTATAGTGGAAATCTTTTAAATTTTCTCTTTGTTTCATGATCAGTTTGGTAGATCAGTAACAAAATCTGATTTTGACTTTTATTTCATTATGCCATAACAGTCGGATGTTTGTGTATTTACTGAGAAAGAGAACTAACGACAAACCAAAGGGCAAGGGGTTATGGATTTAATGGTTTTAATGGGAGGAAAGGTAGGGGAAGCGGGTCTGATTAAGTTATGGTAGGATATGGGGCTGAACGGTCGGGTCTTCTATTAATGGCCTACACCTGTCCAGTCCGTTAAAACAAGGGCACGTTTGAAACTTTATCTAGCGGTAAGGGTATATTCGATCTGATAGTATGCGGAGGGTATATCGAGACAATAAATAATAGTATAGGGGTATTTTTAACTCTTCTCCCTTTCTTAAATGATCAGATATTAAATCCAATAGGCAACGGCGGTTGTAGGGTAAGATCCCAAATATTTAAGGCCCCAAAAATATATAATTTAATTATATATTAGTTAATACAAAATTTCAAATTTTCTTTTTTAAAATTTGGTAGAGATAGGTTTGAATGAGTTACTCCCTCCGGTCCACTTTATTTGTTTTTTATTTTATTTTCATACATATTAAGAAATTCATATTTTAACATTACCAATGAAATTGTGGAAAAGGGTCAAATATATCCGTTTACTATCAAAAATTATTTAAATCTTTCCTTTGTTATACTATTTGGTCATTTCGGACCCTACCGTAATACTATGGAATAAATTTGCCCTTATTTCTAATAGAGGGCCACTGTCAGCTCCTTATTAGACTCATGCCCAATTTAATTTACCTGGTTCAAACTCACCTACCCGACCCACCCTTCATCCTTTCTCGTTCAAATAATGAGTTCTTTCATCTCCTTTACTTTGCTTTTTACTGTTACCTTTACCGGCGAAGATTGTTGACAAAAAATAAAATGATTATTGGCCCATTAGCCATTTAAGTCATATCCTCCTTACAAAATAGCTGAAATATATGAAGTTGATTAGAAGCTAGGTTGAAATTTTAGTGCAGCTGGTGCAGATAAGAGTTTGTGTTATAGTTTGTTTTAAAAAAATGACCCGAGAATACAACAAGAACAAAGTACACCCGTAAGCTTTTTCAGACAGAAACTAAGAAACAAGGACGAATCCAAGTTCTTCAAGTCTCCTGGTTTCAATGATCTGGGTCTTGAAAATTTAAATTTAGTGTTCATTAGTGTTTGAAAAATTAAAAATTATGGTTGAATACAGTCATTAGCTGTGAAGAACTGAGTTGGACGAATTGAGGCAAAATGCAGAATCCTTCAAGCTTCAAAAACCAAACATTGAAAATTCTTTAGTGAATGGTCAATGATTATGCTTAGTTATCTCTCTAAAGGTGGAGGTGGATACTAAGGCACAACATCCAAACTCAAAATCCTTCTATAATCCAATTAGTCTCTCAACCAAATCTCTTACCTAATTCCCAAATGGCTCGTACAAAACAAACTGCCTGAAAATCCACCGGAGGTAAAGCTCCGAGAAAATAATTGGCCACAAAAGTAGCCAGAAAGTCAGCTCCAACCACTGGAGGAGTGAAGAAGCCTCACAGATTCAGGCTAGGAATAGTGGCGCTCCGTGAGAATTGCTAGTACTAGAAATCAACTAAGCTTTTGATCCGTAAGCTGCCGTTCCAGCGATTGGTTCGTGACATAGCTCAGGACTTCAAGATTGATCTCCGCTTTCAGAGTTCAATTATGGCTGTGCTTCAGGAAGCTTCTGATGACTTCGGCGTTGAAATAAAAGAAGGGTGAAATTAATTTTAAGTGAAGAATTTTGACTCGGGTTCATGGGTTAAAACCTTTTGAAGGATCGAGTATTTTAATTGGATTTGGGCTTTACTTCCTAGCGTGCCACGTGTCTTAGTTGTTAGACCCAAGGACTCTTTTGATCTAAAGTATAACGGTAAGGTTAATTTTAAACGGACAGTATAACGGAGGGTAAGTTTAAATCATTTTCGATAGTTATGGATATATTTGACCCTTTTCCGATGAAATTGACTATATTGACATTTACTATCTCTTCACATTTTTTCATTTTATTTTATATTTGACATAATGCCATTTTGGGATTGGTGATGTGATGATTAGCAACTCCCAGAATCGAAGCAACTAGCATAATTGATCAGCATATTTTATAACAAGTAGTACGTGGACTACTTGAGAAGTGAAACTCCAATCTGAGATGGATGAATCCAATTGCATTGGAAAATAAATATAACACATACTCCAATACTATTTACTTCAAGGAAAATTTTTAAATAATAATTAATTCACTTTTGAAATCTAGAAAAATCAAATAAATTGGACCACAAAAAAGGGCCAAAATATCATATAAAGTGGACGGAGGGAGTAATATGATAAATCTTTTCTCTCATTAAATTAAATAATATATTTACCTTTTTATCAATTTTACTTTTCTTCTAAGTATACTTTTTTCATGTTTCTCACGATTTTACTTTCTAATTTTAACTCAGATTCTCTAAATTAGCTATTCCTTTTGGCACATTCATACGTCAAAAAGCAAGTTTTGTGTCTCTTTTTTTAACTAAAATTTTTCCGAGGGAAGTGTCCCAAGTTAAAAAAAAACTCGATGAATAATGTGCTCACCCCTTTATCATTTTCACTTAATACAATATTTTTGTATAGAGGAGAACTTAATATCATGACGTGCGCCTATCAGAATCATCATGTGTATGTGTTGCGCTCTCACATTAGGCATTTTTAGAGTCTTATTATTCTATGGATTTTATGAGAAAAGTTTAAGGGTCTTTTGATATATTTCAATTTTAGCGAGCAATTTCATTGAGACAATTGTCGCATTTGCTAACTTAATGGCACATTTGCTATCTTTAGTATTCTTGTCATTGTTGTCTTATCTTAATTGAAACTTTATAAAATTTAATTGAGAATGTCAAGAATGGATCGTGGCTCAAGAGGGATGCTAGTAAAACCTTGATTTTCAGGCCCTAGAGATTTTGAGGCCCAAAAACTTTTTATAGTGTATTCTATGATTTTATTTTAGCTTAGGCAATATTAAAGTTTGCAGAAAAATAAAAAGTATAATTTTTTTGTAAAAAGGAAAGAAAAAGAGATTGTCTATTATATAACTGTAAAATACTTTAGAACCTTGAATTTGTAACGACCCGGCCGGTTGTTTCATGAGTTACAGCCCCGTTTCCCCCATTTCTGCTCTTTATGTGTTGTTCAGCTATGTTTCATCATATCGTGTTGGTTGTTCTGTGTTTGGAGTGGTCTTGGAGTGAAATGAGACACTTAATCTCTAATTTAGGAGCTTAATTTGGAAAAGTCAATCGAATGTTGACTTATGTGTAGAAGGTCTCGGATGTGAATTCTGATGGTTCGGATAGCTTCGTTAGGTGATTTTTGGACTTGGAGCGTGTTCAGAATATAATATGGAGGTCCGTGGTAGATTTAGGCCTGAATTGGCGAAACTGGAAACTCGGAGTTTCCGGTCGGCAGTGGAAATCTTGATATCGGGGGCGGAATGGAATTTCGGAAATTGGAGTAGGTCTGTTTTGTCATTTGTGACGTGTGTGCAGAATTTCAGGTCATTCAGATGAGGTTTGACAAGTTTTTGCATCGTTTGCGGAATTTGGAAGTTTGGAAATCCTTAGACTTGAATCCGAGGGTGATTTGGTGTTTTGATGCTGTTTTGCGTGTTCTGAAGGTTTGAATAAGTTTGATTGGTAATATGTGACTTGTTGCTAACTTTGGTTGGGATCCCGAGGGCCTCGGGATGAATTCGGATGGTTGACGGATTGGTTTTGAGGTTTGAGAGTTGATGAAATTTCTGGTGTGTTTCAGTTGTCATAACCGCACCTGCGGAGTGGGAACCGCAGGTGCGGCAATGCAGAAGCATATCAGTCGCAGAAGCGGCCATAGCTGAGAGGGCAAGAGTCGCAGTTTCGAACATCGTACCGCGCCTGCGAGACCGCAGGAGCGAGAAATTGACCGAAGAAGCGGGTTCTGGAATTTAAGTGAGGACCGCACCTGTGATGGATTTTCCGCAGGTGCGGCATCGCAGATGCGACTAGAGGACCGCAGATGCGGAAGTGCTGGGCAGAAAGTATATAAGTTTCCCTTCGCGAATTTCTGCCATTTCTTCACCATTTTTGAATGAGTTGGAGCTTGGGACCTGTGATTTCAAAAGGGAATCAAGTATTTTCAGTGCGTAAGCTACTTGGGCTTTGTATCTTGTGTTTATGGCTATTATTCCTTTGTTTAATCATGATATTAGTGGGAAATTAGGGAAGAAATTTGGGGAATTAGGGCTTGACATTGGAGAGTTTAAATTGGGGATTTGAGGGACCATTTGAGGTCCAATTTTGATGATTTTGGTATTTATAGACTCAGGAGTGAAAGTAGTTTCTAGTCTTACGATTTTTGTTGGATTTCGAGATGTGGGCCCGGGGGCCGGGTTTGAGCAAATTCGGGATTTTGGGTCTAATTTGATAATTTTCGTGTGGGTTTCATTCCTTTAGCGTGTATTGACGATAATATACTGATTTTGGTTAGATTCGGAGCATTTGGAGGCCGGAGGGAGAGGCAAGGGCATCGCAGGTTAGAGTTTTGGCTTGGTTTGAGGTAAGTAACGCTTCCAAACTTGGTTCTGAGGGTTCGAAACCCCGAACTGTGTGTTCTATGATTAAATATTGAGGTGACGCAAACGCCAAGTGACGGGCGTGTGGGCGTGCACCGTGAGGATTGCGGCCCGGATCACTCCATGGCATCGCTTAGTGACTCTTTCTTGTTGATACCTGTGTAGTGATTATATGATTTAGTTAATGAGCTGTAAATCATGAGAATTATCATGTTAGGGCTTCTCGCCGATACTATTGAGACTCGAGAGGTTGTTTCTTGCTGTCATATCATTATCTTCATTGATATTTTATACTCAGTCTTGTTCATGCATATTATATCATGTCTCAGTCTCGGTTATTGTTATTTGGCACATCATGTCATTGTTTCGGGCTAGTTTCCCGGTATTGTGAGCTCGTGTGTGTGAGACTGGAGAGTTGTGATTGAATGAGTCCGAGAGCCTGAGTTTGAGTGACAGATATGGGATCGGGCTGCACGCCGCAGCAAATTATTGATTATGCCTCATTGGCTTGTTATAACGCTTGGGCTGAAAGGAGCCGCTCCGGAGTCTATACACCCCCAGTGAGCGCGGATGATACTATTGAGGGATGGATTTCCCTAGACATGGATTTGTCCGAAGTACTGATATTATTGAGGGATGGATTTCCCTAGACATGGATTTGTTCGAAGTGTTGATACCTAGAGATGGATTTCTCCTCAAGGTTGGATTACCCTTGTTCCTCGGTACCGGTTGACTTGAGGTCAGTGTTGTTTATATATATTCCAAGATGGATTTCCCTGGGCCGGATGGCCATATGCGGTACCGAGTGGTTGAGCACTTGAGAGTGGGAGCACATGGTGCATTTTCATACATTTCTAGCATTGACCTGTAGAGTTTTACTGAGCTTTATACTTTACATTGTTCGGATTAGCACTGTTCTTTACTTTCAAGTTAAAAATATTGAATTGCCAGCATGCCTACCTTTCTGTACAATTTAAATGTGTTATAAGTGTTGACGTTTAGTTCGTCACTACCTCTCAGTCCAATGTTTGGACTTGTTACTTACTGAGTCGGTGTACTCACGTTACCCCCTACACCTTGTGTGCAAATCCAGGTATCTCAAGCCACGGTAGCGGCTGTTGATTGTTCCAGACGCAGATTTCACCGAAGATAGCGAGGTAGCTTCCTGACGTTCGTAGTTCCGCCTTCTCCCTCTTTATCTTATTTCTAGTATACTTTGGATATTTCAGAGTATTTTGGTCTAGTTGTGTTTCGGAACAAGTGTAGTATTGCTCATAACTTAGTGACACCCGAGGTCGGGCTTGTGTTTTTCCGCATTTGTTTGGTTTTAACTTTGTATCTTTTATGGAATATGAGTTGAAAATGGTATTATTTAAGCTTTAAATGAAATGTTGAACTATTTTGAAAATGTGTCGGCTGGCCTAGTTTCACGATAAGCGCCATCAAGACCGGGTCGGTTTTGGGGTCGTGAAAAGTTGGTATCAGAGCCTAGGTTACATAGGTCTCACGGGTCATGAGCAGGTTTAGTAGAGTCTCGCGGATAGGTACAGAGACGTCTGCACTTATCTTCGGGAGGCTGCAGAACCTTTAGGAGAAATATCACATTCTTGAATTCTTCTCATGCGAATCTGTGATTCTGGTAACTAAACTTCTGTTATTCTATTCTCTCACAGATGGCGAGGACACGTGCTATCAGTCAGGACAGACAACCACCAGTTGGGGCCACTAGAGGTCGAGGTCGCGGTCGAGGCCGTGGTAGGGGAGGGGTGTAGCCCGCACCGCATATAGGGCAGCACCTGCAGATCCACCAGCCGCCCCAGTTCATGATCAGGTCCCAGTTGCGGATGCTCCAACAGGACCTACTCAGGCACCGGCTGTGCCTATTGTTATTCCGGGACTTCAGGAGACCTTGGCTCAAATCTTGACCATGTGCACTTGTCTTGCTCAGGCGGTCACAGTTTCTACCACATCAGCTACTTCTCAGGCGGGGGAGGCACTCAGACTCCCGCCGCTCGTACACCCGAGCAGGTTGTTCAGGGACTGCAGATACCGGAGGCACCACCAGCCCAGCCGGTTGCACCTGCTTCGGATTATGTAGTACCAGTTGTGCCTGATAACGAGCAGCGTCGAT